GTACAGAAACTCTTCTAGATGAAAAAGCCACAGGCTGACAACTACAAACATGTGTAGAGAGGAAGGCTGCAGATGTCTCTGCAGATGTTGCCCACCCTGAACCTCTTCTGTTTAACTCCCTCTTAAATAAACCTTCAGCTTTAAGTATGAAGCCGGATTTATGCTCAGAAACCAGGTTGTCTGCGTGTGTCGCAGTTAATACGCCACATAATGAAGCGTGGTTTGCGCTATGGTCTGGACAATCAGGAACTAGCTGTGGGTCTAGATATGGCCGAGGTGGTGAGGAAGCGAAGGGAAGTTTGCAAACGCCTGGAACGCCTCGGAAACACTCTCCCAGACACCGTACAGGACGCTCGTTTGTAGCTCTGTTCGACCGTCTGTTTTGCACCGAAAGCCAAAACACGGAGCGCCACGGCCAGTCTTTAAGGAACACTCAGGGGTCAACTGTGTGTCGTCCGACCTTGGATGAGGAGTAGTAGACGACAAACTAGCTCGTCAAACCGACACCCACAATCCTAGCTAGTTCCTTCTTGCGTTGTGGCCTGGAATAACATACCGCAGACCTCGCTTAAAAATTGGGCATAAATCAAAAATATCTGCATCATACCTGCAACAAGCTCACTGCGACACACTGATGCGGGTGGATAATTAGCGCTTAAGTGTGTTTCTTTTCTTCATTCTGACGTGTGAAGTTAAACATTTTAAAGGGGATTAGGGGAGGAGTTGGTCTTTGGTCCTGACAGTTATTCAGAGCAACATATCCTGGATTTTAATTAGAAGTGCTTCAAAATTTTCTTTTTCTTTTTTATTAAATAACCAGATAGGTTCCTGTTTTGTTAGATGATATAATAGTTTAAAGAGAAAAGAAAACCATTTTTTGTTTGTTCAGTCAGTATTTGACAATATAAATGTCTTTTTTTCTGATTCAGCATAATGTAAAAATATTTAGCCCTGTGTTAAAGGAAAGATCCTCTTAATCAAAGAGAAAACTCAGGCTTTAATCATTAGTTGTTCATGCTTTTCAGTTTATCATTTACATTTTAAAACTATGCTTTTCCTTTGCGGTTATGCACTGCTCCGTGTTTATCCATCAAGAATACTCCTAAAAGAATACACTAAAGATGGTCATTGAACCATGGCAGAAATATAGAAACATTAGAAAGGGAAGAATTCAGTATTCAAACTTGTACTCCTTGCTCTGTTCCTACTCCGCATCATATTTGTGGTATAACCATGCACTCATGTCTGATGTCTGAACAAAGCTCAAATCTGATCCCTGATCAGTGGGATAATAAATAGTCTGTGTGGGTTCAAATCATTTCTGGGCAACAGAGTTGTGGGCATCAGTCGGAGCTCTGGAGGACATGCAGCTTTATTTATCCGTGCATCTGTAAAAGTCAGTTAGCTAAACTGTTACTGATTAGAAGCTGCTTTGTTCACTAAGCTGCTTCCTAAATGTCTACTGTTGACTGTTTTTAAGCTCTACTTCTCCGTTTCCTATTGTTTTGAAAAGATGTTAGATTAATATTAAAAGCTTCTCAGTTGTGATAATGGATTCATTCATCTTTTCTACGTGGCATTAGCATTTAATCAACATCAGAAAGCAGAGCTTCCCCATCTGCTCTGCACCGTCCCCATTGGTCACACCTGTAGCTTGTGCCGCGCTGATCCTCCGCCGATGTACCTGAGCCGGGAGCCACGGAGCTGATGGGACTAAACCATGAGTCATCATTCGTCCCAGTGAATGGGGGATTCAGCTTGGGTTCGGTGCTATTTTTAGACAATTCAGTCATTTGGTTGCATAACTTTGGCCTCCCAGCAGTGAAATTAGTCACAATTTCCAGCAGCAGGAGTGATGGAGTGAATCAGTACATATAGAGCATGTGTCACAGAGTCCCTGCCTTGATTTTCCATCTAAGTAATGAGAAATGCCTTTAGTTCCTCTCTAGTCCTAACCAGAAGGTTTAATCTGGTTGTTTTTACCGTTTCTATCAGCCCATTCTCTGCTGCATCCCCTCCACCCTCCCGCTCCAGCAGGATGTGACGTCGTGTCACGGAAAGCGCCCAGAGCTGCACCGCTCCTCTTTGAAGTCAGCAGCCCTGCCAACTCTCCGGCTTCATTAACATTAATGAAGGAGATATAAATATTCCTAATTCTCTACTTTCCTCACATTATTTCTTTGTCTTTGCTCTATGAGACAGAATATTTATAGGAAAAAAAGGTCATTGAGTGATCCTGCTGCTTTAACAGGCCAGGGAGATTGTTGTAGAGAGGATGGAGTGGTTAAAGGTGACATGAGGAGGGGTAGATACGACTAAAGTACCTCTGGTGGATTCCTGGTTTCTGGTTTAAGGTTGATTTTAATCCAAAATGTTTAAGGAGCAGCAGACAAACATTCTGTTTAATTACAGTTGCAGAAATGAAATAGAGAAGAAACAAAAAACACTTCTGCTAACAAGTGGTTTTTGTTTTGTTACCTTTTAGTATCATCCTGTGTTCAAGCTTTTCTGGTTTTGACTAAAACCTCCAGTCTGCCTGTCAGTGGCAGACCCCTAACCCCTCTGGGTAAATTTCACTTCTTTTTTTTTAAGATGCCTTTTTTAGTTAACTTATACTTTTGTAGGTTTCATTCTGGATCCTTTTTTCTGTCACTTCCTGCCTGCAGCCCTGCTGGGGTTCTGATTCTGGTGAAGATGCAAAGATTTGTTTTGGAGAAGACTTGGTTAGTTTGTTCTCGATGTATATTGAGCTTTCCCACGCGCGATAGTTAAAATGACTCTATCGCAGCCATGGAGTACAAATTCGCATGACTAGGCAAGGCAAGGCAAATATATTTGTATAGCGCAATTCAGTACAAAGACAATGCAAAGTGCTTTACATGATTAAAATACAAGAAGATAAAACAGAATCAAAGCAAGTACGAAAAAATGAAAAAAATAAATAAAATAAAAAATGCAGAAACAAAAAAGAATATTAAAAACTGTTGGACTAAAGAAAATATGTTTTAGTTGAACTGTTTAACTAGAACAGCTGAAGGCAATCCTAAACAAATGTGTTTTTAGTCTTGATTTAAAGGAACTCAGGCTTTCCGCACTTTTACAGTTTTCTGGATTACATTAAGCTGTCTATATCTATTTCACTGAGTTTTATTTTTCCCATACACTTTGAATGCATCATAAACCTCTCCTCCAAACAGAATTATTTTCTGCACTGCATGCACACTACAGCAACCGGCAAACAAAATATGGCGACAGCAGGCGTTTCAGCTGAATGGTGGTTTGGATTTCACGCTGAGGATGTTGAACAAAAGGCGCTAATTTGTAAGACGTGTCACAAAAAAACCGTAGCAAAAAAGGTAGCAGTAAAAAATAATTTCACCACCTAAAAGTCCGCTGCAAAATGAAGAATGAAGTTATAAACTCTGCATGTCAGCATTAAATAACTCACCTGTGAAGTTGGCCTCATCCTTTTTGTGCTTTAAAATTCCCAGCACGTAAAGATCAATGCAACTAGTTTTGAGATGCTCTGATAATGCTCTAATTTCTAGACAGTATTTCCACTTTTGTTTTTAGAATTATTTCATTAAGCACAAAATAGTCCTTTTTTATTTTACATTTTTAGTATTTTTGCTCTGTTCCCTGTTTGGTTGCTAGGATCTTGTTAAAGGTCTAATACAGACACCAAAAGGCATAATGTGGCAGAAAAGCTTTGAGCTGGTTAAAAATGAAATGTTTCAAATATGAAACCAAAAGTTTGCATGAGTATATCTATTGTTTTTGTTTGTTTTTAAAGCTGCAGCAGGGTGTTTTAAATTAATATTTCCTAAACTAAAAAAATAGTGCATCACAGTACATGCTATTGCTTATAAGCAAAGATTAGTGCAAGGTTGTAGTTTCTAATGAAATTATTAAAGAAGAAAATCTGCTCTGATTTTTCTTTTTCTCTGATGATGATGATGAATTTTATTTCAAATTCAATAATACTGTTCAAGAAAAGTAAAAAACCACAAAGCACTAGAAACTTCAAATTACAGGGAAACTATAGATTTATTAAAAAGTGGATTTTTTTAGGCGGTTTTCGGAAAGGAGACGATGAAGACAATTGGTGATACCAGAGCTGGGGGGCAGAATAAGGGACGGTTCTGGTGCTGAGGTGGACAGATGGTGAATGGAGGATGAACAGCTTAGGGAGCAGGAAGGCTTGTAGATGTAGAGAAGTAGAGGCGAGTAGAATGGCCCTGAAAGACAAAAGGAGGAGTTTGATTAGATCTGATAGTAAAATGGAAGTGATATGGTGGAAGGAGAGGGTTCAGACTTAGGGGGATGTTTGGGACAGGTGGGGACCAGGCTATGAGGGGAGGGATGGAGGTAGTTTATACAGCAAAGGTGGAAATAAACAGACCTGAAAATGTTAATATGGGACTAAAAGGAGACGCTGTTTACCTGAAGAACAGCGAAAATAAGGAATAATTATTGGTTAGAGAACGTCACTGGTTTTAAGGGAGGGTGGCATTGTTACCGTTTAAGATTTCTGTCTTATTTCTATTAAGTTTGAGAAAGTTAATAAAATCAGACCAGAGAGAGGTAATGTGGTGGGTGGTTTGCAGGAGAGGTCGAGCTAGGAGATGAATGATGAGTGACCCCAGGAGAAAGCCCTGTGGGACGCCAGAAATAACAGGAGGGGAACAGAACATTTTCAGTTGTATGGAAATTGTATCAGTGTCTGCGTGAATGGGGAATGATTGAATGTAGTGGAACTGGCTTTGTTGAAGTCTGACGTGAAGACGCGCTTTATAAGTACAGAGCATTTACCATCGTTACAATTTGGAAGAGTGCGGCCAGACTGGGTCGAACGCAACCTACAAGAGCCTAAATATCAGAGATCAACAGCATTTTAAACACTTTCTTCAGCTCAAGTTGTCAAAGCATAAAAGAAATCCAAATATAATCTCTGAGACGGAAACTTATATTTTCTTTACCCCCTTTTTTTGTTACTGCAGTGAACAGAGCATCTGCCAGGCACGAGCCGCTGTCATGGTGTACGACGATGCCAACAAGAAGTGGGTCCCTGCTGGTGGCTCCACGGGTTTCAGCAGAGTCCACATCTATCACCACACGGGTAACAACGCCTTCAGGGTGGTAGGACGCAAGATCCAGGATCATCAGGTGAGGGCGTGGCCTCCGCTGCTTTTATCTGCATTTGATGATGGGATCCTAGGAGATAACGATAAAGTGTTTGAGGACAAAGCTGCAAAACCCTCAAATTTAGACAGAAGAGGGGCTTTAGTTCCCATCTGTTTGTAGAATCACTGCGTGGTGTTTAGAGAAGACACAGACATTTCTGGAAAAGAAGCTGACAGCAAAGTGAGACATGAGAGCAGCTGGGATGGATCCAAAGCAAACCCCAGTTTGTCCAAATACACTAAAGCCTGACTCATCAACAAGGCTTGGAAATCAGCAAACTCTGACTGTTGATCTGATTCATAGGATTTAATGACATGTCATTAAAGCTAATGTTATCCTTAAAAAGTCTATTTACTTCATAAATAAAAGGCCTTTACTGTGCACCTCTCTCAGGGTTTGGAAAACCTTGTAAACAACAATCTATGTCCTTTCCAACCCCTGTAGGAAAAGAGATTAGGACGCTGGCCCCAGGAATAAGTTTACTGTTCAGTTATTCAAATCCAAGGGTTTCAGGAATGCATCCATCCTCAAATCTGTCTTCAAGTGCTAATAACTGTCTGTGGTAACCACTGATCAGAGCAGCAACCGAAAGGCTGCCCTCATTTATTCATTTTGGGAAACATTTCAGGTGCTTAAATAAAGTATTCATTCATTCAAAAAAAAAAAAAGCCAAAATATTTAGATACTAAACCACTACTTTAGCAATTAACTATATTCAGAATTTTAAAGGAAAAGTCTGATCAGCAAGGAATAATGAGTGGGTAATTATTTATACCTAAAATGAATATGTTCATGGTGATTTAATGGATTTGGCGTTAATCAGGATAGTTAATTAGTGTACCCATTTTAATTTGGATCTTTTCTAAGTAAAAACGAGGCTTTTTTGGGCTTCTGTATAAAGCCTCGAACTCAAAGCTATTCCTGACATTTTTAATTGAAAAAGCTTCCTGGATGGGAAGAGAAACGTCTTCAAACTTGAAAACAAAGTCCAGTTGATTTATTTTTTTTATTTTCTTTCTTCATTGGGATAAGTGTAAAGGAGAAAAGCATTTTAACGTTCTTTTTATTAGAAGCTAATAATGTAATCTCCACAGACAATGATCTGACAGAGCAGGAACCTAAACCTGAAATATTGGCATCAAACATGGAGAAATTGGCTGCAGTGAATTGAAGCCTCCTAATTGACCCAAAGCAGAAAGACTTGAATGAGACGTTTTAGTCATTATGACGTTATGTAGCTTTATGGTGTTGCTGAATTTGTTCAGGCCAGTTTAAAGCCTCATACATACAATCTCAGACCCCTCCACTGCAGACACTCTGTCCGTAACCAGAACACCTTCTCTCTTCACGCCCAAAGGTGGTGATAAACTGTGCCATTCCCAAGGGGCTGAAATACAACCAGGCCACGCAGACCTTCCACCAGTGGCGTGATGCTCGGCAGGTCTACGGCCTCAACTTTGGCAGTAAGGAAGACGCCAACGTGTTCGCCAGTGCCATGATGCATGCACTGGAGGTGCTGAACTCCCTGGATACAGGTCAGTGCAGAGCTGCCTGCCACGCTGCCCTCATCTCTCTCCAGTCCTACTAATGGGATCCTTTATGCTGTTTTCATTTAGCAGCCTGTATTTGACTTGAGTTCTCATTAGGTCTGGTCCCAGTGAAAGGATGGGTAGCAAGTATAGAGGATCTGATGGGTGGATGATGTGGTAGACTACAGCGAAGGATCATGGAAATGGGAAGGAAAGATGTGGAGAATTGGTGCTGTGTATGCAGTGTGTATCTGGTACAGTCAGGGATACGTTTGTGTAATTCTCTTCACTGTCAGCATATATTGACATTATGTAATCCTCTATGCTGCAGCTGTGTGCCTCGCTGAACGTTTCCCCTCCAGGCCAATAACGTTCCTCCCTTCTTATTGCAATCTGTGTTATGTTGCAAATGAACCTGAAACTGCTGAGAAACGTGATGCAATTAAAAATGTTCTGTAAGCATCCGTATGTTCTGCTGGGGATGAAACGGGCTTTATCCCCCATTACTGGGAGAAACAATGTTTGAGGAAGTAAAGCTTAAAAAAAATGTTTCGATAAGGTTTGAAAAACAAATAATATATATGTGTGTGTGTGTATATATATATATATTTTATTTTATTTTTTTTTTATAAAATCTGAGAAAACCGCAAAGTTACTCTTGAAACCTTTGTTTTGGATAAAGAGATTTTTTTTTTTTTTTTTTCGGGGATAATTTTTTTTATCTATCCATGAACAAAAACACATTTTTTGCCTGTAACAATAAGTTTGCTCTATAATCAAACTGTTTCTTTATTCTCTGCTTCCTCTGACTTTATTTAAGCTGGAGGTCTTCAACAGGGGGTCCACGGAGGCACTGCATGGGGGTCTCTAAACTTTTGGTTGATTAGACTTCTTTTTTTTCCCTGCAATTTTTTTCCATTCATTGAAATGTCTTTAAATCCACATTAACATGAATTCAACAGACTGTAGTAAACAGATAAATGGAGGCAGAAGATGTCTTTCAGTCATCAATGCACACATTCAGTGACACACAGGAGCTCTTTCAAGCTGGGCAACGTTTCATTCACAACACCTGTCCCATCAACCAGGAATCAGAAATACTTTAATAATCCCAGGGAGAAATTACTTTAGTTACATTACTCCATCTGTAATAGAGTGACTATAGAACCAGTTTGATAGAACACTATTTGTTACAATATATATAATTAGGGGGTCTCCGCTCCATCTAGCCATCAGTTTGGGCATCCTTGGCCTGAAAAACGTTGAAGACCTACTTGGAGTTGTTACTCTGTTACAGCAGGAACACCACTAGCTAGTAGTGTATGTACGCTGTACAGTATGTTCACTGATCAAATAAAAGGTTTTAAAAGAAAGAACGGTCTAATCTCTTGGTTTCTGCTCACAACTAGCACTGAACGGGTTGGTCGTTGGATCGCCAACTTGAAGAGGGAGGATTTGCCATCGAACTTCTGGCCAGAGAAAAAACCCGTAATATGTAGCCAACATTTGGAAGAAGAATGTTTTCAAGATGACTTGGATAATAGCGCGTTGTGACAAACACCAGATACAGCACTGGGACTTGATCAACAGCCGATACCGCACCGTGACGTCACTAACCAGTAGGTGGCAGTAGTGTTCTTTGGCAAACATGGATGCCTCCAGTAAAGCACATTCGCATGAAAATTACTCTTAATTAAAAACACTGATCATTTATTGAACAGGATGGAATCATTTCATATTTAATGTACTTCAAGAAGTTCTGAAGATGACCAGACTTCTCCTTTAAAGCTGCAGTCTGTAACATTGAGAAGAGAGCAGACTTCGACTGAAAATCTGAAGAAAAACAGGTTTCACGCCACTCCCCCACCCTCTCTGCTTCACTCATGCCCCACCTCCAAGCTCCACCCCTCTCACAGCATCTGCGCGGCTACCGCATGCGACCAGAAGCGTCCAAGCAGCGTACGCAGCAGCTCTTCCATTGACATCTTCTTTTTTGAAGTCTTTGCCATGTAAGCAGTTGTCGGCAGGGGCAGTAAGGGCAGTTTCTCTTTCGCTGGTGGCTGTCGCTCCGCCATGACTTCCTCCTGACTGCGGCAGCCGGGCGGCAGCGGCAGGTTCAGTGGTGAGAGGGAGGGGGCGGGATTCAGCGTGTGTGAGCTGTGATTGACACTCCATCAGACGCTCCTCTGGCTGTGATTGGTTGTTTTGACTCGTCCCGAAATATTCCTTTCAGATTGCAATACAGGCAGTATGCGGGACCAATTGAAGCAGTTTTTTTCACAGGTTACATATCACATGTACTGCTATCTGGGCATAGGGACAGTTTTAGCCAATATGACAAAAAAGTGATTTTTAAAAACTTACAGACTTCAGCTTTAAGTTGTGTTTTTTAAGGCTTTGGTCAGCAATGATGGGAGCTGAGGTGAGATTCATGTCGTCACCTTTAACCCAAACTAGATGGAAGTATCATTTTTCAGATTTCCTCAAATTTTTTAAGCATTTGAAAACTTCCCAATAAACGGCGCTAAAAACTTTAGCATCAGGCCCTTCTTTCCTCTTCTCTTAATATGTCTTAATTTTCTCCCGATTGATCCTTCCTTCCCTCCCATTCCTGCCCAGCTCCATCTCCGACACATTTCAGTCATGCTGATACTTCCTTCCCCTTCATCTCAGCAGTGCACACAGGAGACCGTCAGGGTCTCCCCTTTCACCCGCTGTTTTGCTTCCATATTTCTGTCCTGACAGCTGCTCTCAGCGGCGCCTGTCGCTCTCATCACCGGACCCTCCATCTATCACTCTGAAACCTTTCCAGTTCAGTCGTTTGTTTTAAAAACTGCTTGTTGTCTCCCCCTGCAACATTTATCGATCGCTTTGATGTTTAAAGCTGCAACATTGCCCTGGGGGGAAAAAAGGAGTCTGCTCCATGGTTTCAGTGGCTCTCTCAGCTGCAGCAGTGATTTACAGTGTCCCCCTGTAAACGGCTTCAGCCTAGAGGGGATTCACAGTCCAGTGCCAGAGTTTAACCTTTCCAGGCCTTAGTCAATAATCTGTGTGGAGATAAATCACGGTGTGTCCTCAGCTGGTGGCGACTGATTCTTGGAACCCGATCAGACTGGATGAGGATCCTTGAAGCGTCATGCTGCTGACTTTAACATTTTTAGTTCAGTTTGGCTAAACACTCTGAGCACAGATGTCCAGGTTATATCTTCATCAATGAAGGTTTGGGTTGATGTCGTTTCTGTGGAGTCGTTCTCTATCTGATGGTGGGTCATTCTTTACCATCCATTCCTGTAGTTTTTAATCCACTGAGGTTTGCCCCCTCAGTTTAACATGCACCCCACTGTCAGACTAGTCACATTCACTTCCTTTGGTTTAGTTTGTGGTGTTTTTCCCCTGATTAAACGGAACATCTTGAAGGTATGAGCCGTCAGTCCAATGAGGTCGGGTTAGATTCTCCTGCTGCGTTTGCTTGACCAAATACGGTCTCTTTCTGCTCCATGATGGTATTGGCTGGTTGCCTAACCCGAGGCTTTAAAATTGTAGCTCAAACCCACTGCTGATGTCACGGCAAACTCGTCAATTCGTTTTATACAGGCTGCGGCTGAAATGCAAAAGCGGCTGATCGCTCATTCTGCAGCTGCAGGAGCAGAGCCTTTTGTCCACCTTTGCAGCGTTTGACCTTTAATAAAGATTCATGCATTAATGCATGTTGAAATTGGCCACTCTTGGAGTGGATCCAAGCACCGTAACATGTTTAAACCATGGAGTAATATTTGCCCTCCTAAGAATCCGTGACTCCTTGTAAGCACAGAGCACAGCGTATGGAATAAAGGGAACCATATGGTGGGCCATCTGGCAGGTAAAACTGATTTCTTACCCTCATAAATGTTTCTTTGTTGCTCAAAGAGCCGCTTTGATTTCCATCTTTGAAACTGAATGACATGACTAGTAAAACAAAACCTCCTCTTTTACTATTTACATCATCAATGGCCTCAGATCCTTCCAGTGACTTGGCTGTTGTAGAATAGTTTTTAGAGGGCAGGTGAATGAATTTTAGAATGTGTTTGTTCATGGAAGGCATGGAGGAATGTGTGAGAATAGTTTCCATCTGAGAGCGGAAAGTGGATACGGCTCCGCTCTTCAGACCCGTGGTGTTGTGGTTTCAAACCTGTGAGGACAATGATCACTTTGTTTATCAGGGTTACTTATTTCTCCTAAAAAGGCCAGAGTTGAGGGGGTGGAAGGACGGCATCAGCAGAGGGAGGGGTGGGTCACACGCTGCCGGCCGCATGTCTGCCTCTGTTGTGGTCTGGCTGGCTAGTAACTGGTTGGAAACGAGGTGGAAGCTGATTCCTCGCTCCAAAATTGACTTAACACTTGGAAAGATGTGGGGACAGATTGATGAGGCGGGCTTCCTTCTAAACAGAGCCAGCATGAATAACGGATCAGAACAAAACGACCTTGGTCTGACCTCTCTGTGGAAACAGCTTCAGGAGGAATGTAAGCAGCAGCATGACTGCCTCCAATCCTGCAGCCTCATCTTCATCCTGCCTGGATCTGGCACCAAGATGTCAGCCACACAGTCTCCATTAGGGACATTTTGCAAATACGTCCTCATATTAACCCTTTACCACATAAACCCAGCTTGGGGCTGATTTACTTTTTTAGTTCTCGAGTCAGTTTCACTACCTGATCCGTCCTGGAAGTGCGATCCATCCTGTGCGTGCGCCATCAGCTCATGGTGCATGCGCATCCAGAACTGATGGCCCTCAATTTTTTGTTAAAAAGACCTTAATTATGTTTTTCCCTCCCCAAAAATAGTAAGCGTATAAAGTGTTAAAGGTTAATAATGTAATTCCTGAGAAAATAAATGCTAATCCTTTCTGTTTTATCAGTCATCTGGATCCTGCTCTACTGCCAAGAGCTAACTTTTTCAGCTTTGGATTTAAACATAAATCTAGTCTTTTTGAGTTTAATGTTTTCCTTTCATGTTAACATTATGGTAT